TAATAAAAAAATCAGATTTTCATTTTTGAGCTATATCAATGTGTGACAAGAAGTAACCAGTCAAATCATTTCTTACGAAAATTGGAACAAATAAAAACAACCAATATTTAAAAAAATAAAGAGTAAAATGAATTCGTGTAAAATTTTAGCTTATTGTTAGGCTATTTCAACTCTTGAACACATTTCCACGCTGATATCCATTTCCGCCTTTTAAGCTGTGTAGAAACATACGCGATGACTGGTGAGGGGATGGTTAAATATCTGGGATGGTATCTATTGTACGTAGTTTCTAAATCCCAGAGGACGTCAAATAATTAAAACTTCCCTAAGGTAACCACCCTATAGTCATTTTCAATGCCAGTTTTCCCGTCAAAAACTCCGAAATGTATTCAAAAGCACCCGACCAAGGTGGTAATTGTCGGGTGGGGAACTTTGATTCAGAAATCCTTCCTCAGTTCTCTCTTGGCAAGGCTTTGTGTGATATGTGAAATGAAGTGATTTACAGGATTTTATAATTTATTTATTGACAACAAAATCAGAGGATTTCTAAGCTCAATTGTTATATTTACAGTAAAAGTCCTGTAGAAGGGCTTACGGCCCGAAAGGTCATCAAGTAGAACTTTTCGAAGAGCTTCTTTCAAATCAACTACGCACAAAGAAGTCTTTAGTGACATTGTCGTCCTCTCATCAGAGCTACAATAATAGCCACTTTTTGGAGATTTTAATGGCTTGAGGAACGGAGGAGGAGTAATGGAAAAGAAGGCCTGAATGTACGTTCAGGACCGCAAACCACAGGTCAGTTACCTTGAGCAATTTCCTTATGCAAAGGTCAACTGATTCCTGATGGATTACCTATCATAAAAACCTCAAGAATAGCCGTTGGGAAATTCAGAAATCACTCTTTCTCTTCCAACTATGAGTCTCAGTCGAACCTTCACATTTCTCACTGAAAACCGGACAAGGAGCTCTTTCCGAAGGAATGGCCCGATGAAGAGTTCTGTTCGTTGTATCATTACACTATTCACTTTCAGGAAGTTACTGCCTTCCTTGATGCTCTACCTGTTTGGGCATTTGTGGCAGTCTTTTCGAAAAATTTGAAATTTTCCTGGAAACTTCCATACCCGACGTCATCAATCAACTCGTCTAATTTGTGGCGATTGTCTACTTTTTTGTGAATTTCTGCAAGCATTCAAACGACATCAGCGAAATGCACTTCCATCGAATGGGCAGCAATGGCCGAGCAGTTCTCATTAATCACCTCATTTAAACACTTGTTCCGGTTAACTGGCAGAGAACAAAGAAGTGGTAATGTCGCGAGGTTAACCTGGCAAGAGGAACAAAGAAGTAGTAATATATGCAAGGGAACATCAAGGGGTAATTTGTATACATAAAACTCTTCATATTTATTACGACAGTGGCTATGAATTTAAAAGCGGGAAATATCCTCCGAAGCTATATGCGGGGAGAGTACTGGCCAGGCCTCTTTCCTTGCTCTGCACGATCGCAAATCAAACGTAGCTTTACTTTCGGGGAATAAGGCTGCCTAAGGCAAGAAGGTATACCTGTACGCTAAATCTTTCTTCCAACGGAACAGCGGTTAGGAACATTGACTATGTTGACTGTTGGCCTCATGGCTATTATACTAGCGTTCATATGTGTGCGGGCCAGGCGAATGGTCAAGCAATTATTATGGTTTATTTCCGACCAGTGGACCAACTACCGAGCCGGAGGAAGAAGGCTGGTTGCCTGACGACGCCGACGCCAAGATTCGATTCCGCGGACCCCGCGGGAAGCGGCCACGCTACGCGACGTCCGCAAGCATGTAAATCTGAAGAAGTCAGATTAATGGGCAGACTAAGGAGACCGCCACACGGGTATTTTTGCAACACCTGCTTTCTATACTACCACTTTTCATATGTTGACTGGCTTAAAACATATCAGATTACGGCGTGCCGAGTAGTACCCTCAACTAAAAGAAAGAAGCACCAACAAACCAATGTTTCGATCTTGCTCAATGCTGAAATGTCGTTGCCCCACGTCGTCCAGGTAGTACGAGACAGAGAATGGCGTTTTCCATATGAAAGGTTTTCTGATCCGCAGACACCTTGAAAAGGTATCAATTGTATAGAAAAAGTATGATTTGATGCTTTCATTTTCCATTCCTCTGTTCATTGTAGATGCCGCAGGGTATCGCTAGAATACTTTAATCTCGTGGTCAGTGAGAAGTCGTACAGTACTATCTCTTTTGAGGAGCGAATTGGGTAATGCTGATAGATTCAAAGAGAATTGGCTTATAAAGCAGTGCGCTAACGAAAGAGTCTGTGTGATACATTTATCAAAGAGGACTGAAGGCTGTCCAGCTACAAATACCAAGCAAATATATCATGGAACGGCGGCTTCGTGTGAGTTTAACGATTCTGTACCGCAATCTAACTGAATTGAAGTGAGATCAGTTATGGTTAATCATACGGCGGCCACGGCGGGATTGGCGCATTCGCAGACGTTCAGGAGATAATTTTCTACATGAAATCTTGAGCGACTTAGTGGATGGAGAATTCCCCTGCCCAGGGCGCTGGCGTAGATGAATAAAGTATAAAGGTTTTTTTCAGGAGAGAAAACTTTCCAAATTCCATTCGAAACACGGCAACACCGCTGGATGCCACTTTCCCTAGTGAGATCTTTGGCAGCTACGGTGATAGGTATTGTCACGCAATTAGGTTAAAGACTGCGGTGGTATGGGCATGTGCTAAGAAGACCACAAGGCCACCCAATAAGGAATGCAATGGACTTCGAAGCGCAAGGCAAGCGACCGCGAGGAGCCCCAAAGAAGAGGTGGAAGGACGTAGTCAAGAAGGACCTAAGCGAAATCATGGCCACTGCAGGGGATGCCCTGGACAGAGCGAAGTGGCGACGACTGATAAGAACAGCGGACCCTGCGACGGCGCGGGACTAACGCTAGGGAGAAGAAGAAGAAGAAGAAGTGATTACGATAGATTCAAGAAGGGTTTATAGGAGACTGGTGGTGCTCAGTGGTACGCCAGTAGCGAAAAAAGCGGAGAAATCCGTCAAGAAACGCAAAACGGGACCCCCTTTTTGGCCGTTAGTTTCACTCATGAACAGGTAACAGCTCAGAAAGCGGACGTATGAACGAGTTCAGCGCAACGCGTTTGGTGACAGCATGCCAATCCATGCTACAGTCGAGTTGCTTTAGTTGTGCCGCTGCTGGCAACGCAGCTCGTCCAAATCACCAACTAAACTAGTGGGCGGATCGCTTTTGGGGCGGAGTGCTTTCGAAGTCCTGCTCAGCAAGCGCCTTCGTCGTGAAAGCGCTACACCTCGCTTCCCTGGCAGCCAAGTAACTGATTCGTGTGGTGCATATGCTTCCCCGATGCGCTCTTACTTTATCTTTAAAGGGTCAAAGTGCCTCATGAAGCAATTTTTGAAATGCCAGCAATTCATGTCGGTCCACTTGTACCCTGTTTTCATTTTCATGTGCAGAAATCACTCCAGTGTCCGTTCTCACAAGCCCCTTAAAACCGAACGTAAAGAGAGCAGAGTTCATATATGGGTAACTTTGGTTTCAGCTCAAATCTTCGGTAGGTGAACAAGTGGCTGTAAACGTGAGGCGGGCTCTTTCTAGCAGTTACATGACTAATGCTAGTAAGCACAGCGGTATTTCTGGTGTAGATCTTCTCTTTTCGGTCCAGCAGTCTTTTATCTATGAGGAGTGGCGTGCTATGTGAGCGCCATCGTCGTAACTTTACAAGGATCGCGAGCTTCTCTAAATTCGTGTCGTATTCCGCTGTTATGATGCAGAGAAAATGATATTTATAAAAATTCATCTATTTTCTATTCGAATTTCGCTTTCTGTGCGGTAATTACTTTTCTATCAAATTTCAGTAATTACATTTTCTAACACACTCTATACAAACAGAATAGAATGACAATGATAGAGTTATCAATAGTTTATCTAGGGTGCGCCACACATTCTACTTCTATTCAAGATCGTAGTGCTGTTCTAATACGGTATGGAGTACGCAAGTGATCGCGGGGACCAGACGAAGTACAAGTCGCTGTTTCATATCAGACAGTCTGGTACCAATCAAGGGAACCCGGAGTGATGGAAGGCTTAGCTCTCCTGGGTGGCACGACTCAAGGTCTGATCCATAGACCGTGCGCGTGGGAAGTGGCATACTTCACTACCCACACTCAAGAACAAAAGATATAGCAGTTTTGTAAGAGTAGCTTTCACAAAAAGCTCTCAGTATCTTTTGGAAAGTTGGTAATTTTTTTCGAGTCCTAACATATTTCGTGCAAAAACCCTTTTGAGGAAGGTAATCAGCACTAAGATAGAAAAATGCACTCCCTAATAGAATTTTCCTTGTCCACTCCACACAATGAGAATTCCCGATATAGCACATATTCTCAGGAGATATTCGAGGGAATACACTCAACTTTGGATTCAGTCCACCGCATTTCAATTTGTCCCACCTGAAGGGAGTTATACCCATTCGAAGAGGAATGTGTTTCCAACCAGATTCCGTATCTAAGAACTATAACTCGCTCCGAACTGAGCGCACTTCAAAGGCAGCAATCACGACAATTTTGGTTGGTCATATGAAGGCTGAGATGCCAAATGGTGCGCTACTAGAGAATAAATCTAAGCAAAAACATGAACATGACATGAACCAGAGACTAGAAACGCTCATTTTGCTCGCTGATTTGGGGCATATTTACGGTTTAGAAATTGGCAGTTTCGGTTAAAATGTTCTGACATACCATGAAATAAAATGAAATTACCATAGAGACGCATGATTTTAAACATACGGAAAATGATCATGCGAACGAATTTCTAAATGAAGTAAAGCGTATATGAACTAAATACAAACTCTATTACCACGCTCGAAGAGGGGGGGGCAATTTCAGCCCGGTTCAAGTTTCAAGCCCAAGTTTGCAATTACAGTTCATGAAATCGCCAAAGCTGGATATTTCCGCAGCCTGGCCGTGTATAAACGTCCCTGGTGCAGAGCTGCTTTATCGTACTCACAACCTTCAAGTGCCGGTGCCATTTCATAGCACACACTTGTTGTCGTGAAACGCGCCACGACCTCGAGTGAAGGTGCTTCAAGGCAACAATGACAAGAGGCAGAACGAAATACTCGTTCAAACTTCGCGCCGATCTTGAGCGGCTTGGTACCCTGGTCTCCTTCGCCTTCGAATGGCGCGCCAGTTCTGGCCACCACCTCATTCGCCACTGCACCGTCATTCTGATCGGTCGCCCTTTTCGCCTCAGGGATCATTAGATTCATTTCATCGCCTTGATTTACGCCCCAACTTCTTGCTATGAGTCAGTGCGCAATGCTAACAATGCATTCTAGTTACAGATATATATTCTTTTCTATCTAATATTCAAGCCCATCGCCGGGAATCCAAGTCTAGATTTTTTCGTCATAGTTCTTCCTAGATTCTGTTCTAGTTCATTCCAGGGAGTTCGCACACTAGTCTTACATTCTAGTTTACGTAGTCATTTTAGAATCTCAATATGTAGTTCGTCAATAGTTTCCATTCTATAGTAGATATCTCTAACTGGACTCAAGACGTTCTGCACCATGTAGATATTTCTCGTTCATTCTCTATAGTTACTACATGTGTTTAATCGCATTGCTATTGCATTGTTTATTATTTATTGTATTGTTTATTGCATATATACTTATGTCATTCATATTTAGGCGACATGGAGAAGTGTAATGCATGGTCTATCTAGACCTGACACTCAACATAGATAAGCCGCATACATCGCCTCATATACTCGCCCAATCGGTCCTTACCTTGGTATTTTTTCCGATCTACTTCTAGCCCCCACGGTCGATCGACATGCATCGCACCTGCAAGGCTGTTAACACGCGCCGTACGCTTCTCCCTGAGGGGTTCAGGGAAGTAGGCCCAATCTATGGCCCGCCGCCTGCACATGGTGCAAAGTCAAGAGCATTCAAACACGCACGCGTCTTCCCTATCAGAGATGCCAGCATAATGCTTCGAGCACCACATGTTACACTCTCGTTTTCAACCTATTGGCGACCGTCTTTTTGCGTGCACGGGCATCCTTTTACATGTTTGTTCATCAGTATTAGTGAATATTTGATAACTCTTGATTGGTAATGAAAATATTGTTCTTCGAAACGCGATAGTGTAAATGGATTGTTTTTAAATACGAAAAGCTATTAAATAACGAAGAAAATGAGGTCCTTCCGTGGGAAAATGTGGTCTACGCGGAAGTCAATGAGTTGACTTCCATCGCTTCTTTCAAAAAGCTAAGGTTAGGTTAGCTGTATATTGCACACTTTAAATTGATTCCAATAAATAAATATTTTGACCATATTTTCAAGATAAGATGCACATAATTTATTTTTTATTGAGCGCTGTAATCAAGACAAACCTCTATCGGTTTTTCGACAAGCTTTGTGGACGGTAAGGCTCGGAACTGGTACAAAATCTCTTTCGTGTGATTCCCGAGACAGACGACATCTTCTTGTTTACAAGCTTTCAAACACGAATAGCCATCCTGCACGGTACTAAACATACATTTTACAGCCGTTATACGATCACCACACCCATGTTTATTTAGCTATCCTGACAGGCATTTAGATTGTTAAAGCTGGACATGGAATATTACCCTGTGATAGTTTTCAAGCCTGAAATCGTGAAGACCACCATCAGAAAACACTCATTTTACCACTACTAGAGTTGGCCGTTGGTCTATGGTTACTGCTGGAGGTCTATTCAATACCCCTGGGTTCTCATGCAAATGCTACAGTAGGACCGCTAATTCCCCTTATCAATTGGTTCTCATAGTAGTCTCGCTTCCACCAACAACCCCATAGAGTATCTTTGAGTGTAGACGCAGTTTCCTATAAGGAAACACACATGCGTGAATTTGAGTCAGGCTTTGCTTCCGAAATACGGGCTCCTCATCACACTAGAGGCCTAATTTGCATTATGTTCCAGTCACTTGTAGTGCAACAACAAAAATCGACTGAAATATGATCCCGTTGCTGGGTGCCTTTGAGTCTCTCGTAATCGTCACATTCGAAAATTAGTAATGGTATTAGCAATAATTCGACAAAATCTGGGCGGGATGTGACATTGAGCTTCACTCAAATAAGCCATCAAGCGACTCATTCCGTAGTATGCAGTCTAAATTTGTAGTCATAAAGGCACACCTAGTGATGAGTTCACGTGGATTAGTAAATTTCATGGATGGGACGGAGCTGTTCTCCAAAGTAAAAATTGTTCCGTTTTCCCGCCGAAAGGGCGCATGGAGGGCGTCGCCGAGATCGCTTCGACCGCTTCCGTCTTCTCTTCTTCCCAACATGCAGGTGTCTCCATCCTCTCAACTGTTGTGCTCGCTTGCCTATCTTCTTTCGCGCTCTCTGTCTCATTGCCTTAAAGGCAGCGATTACGATAAGTAAAAGAAGGTTTATAGAAGACGTGGTGGTGCTCAATGGATACGTCGGTGGCGAAAAAAGCGGAGAAAGCAAAATGGAACCCCTTTTTTGGCCGTTGGTTTTCACTCATGAACAGGTGACAGCTCAGAAAGCGGGCGTATGAACGAATTCAGAGCAAGTGGGCGGATCGCTTTTGAGGGCGGAGTGCTTTCGAAGTCCTGCTCAGCAACCAGCGCACCTTTCGTCGTGAAAGCGCCACATCTCGCTTCCTTGGCAGCCAAGTAACTGATTCGTGTGGTGCATATGCTTCCCGATGCGCTCCTCTTTATCGTAATCGCTGCCTTTAAGCCAAAAAATCGGAAAGCATAAATTGTAATGTTTTCAACGAACTCCTCTTTTCTACACTACCACTCACTGTCCACTTCACGTCCCTCGTCCCCTTTTTCATTTTCATGTGCTGTAATCACACTTTATCGTGAGGTGTGCCTTTAACTCTTATTCTACAAAAAATGCAATTGAAAGGGAGGAGGGGCACAACGCTTCAAAAGACTGCTTGAGGCCTTGAGTCCAATCTATTTAGATGTCCTGTTGTTACGCCTCCAGAGCACCAGTTTCTTCACCACAATACAGTGATCAATGACGAATCTCTTCTACGCAAAAACTACAGCCAGGATGATTCAGCATAACCATCGACCAAGTACACCCGCAACAACGAGAGCTCATAGATCGACCACGGAAACTCCTACCGTTGCGATTTCACGCTTGTTCCCTTGTAGAATTCACTCAAATACATAAGTTTTATTATAGAAACTCTAGCGTTTCTAAATGAAGCGCAATCAAGGCAATCACACATTGGTTATCACAGATACAAGCCACACAGTAAATAAACTATAATAAAATTATTTGACGAGATCATGCAGTAACATATAGTTAATAACATTCCATGTTGTAACAAACACGTATCACTTCTGTACGGACGCGACGATATTCTTTTCTGAAGAGCATGAGTGAGGGCCAAATCTGGGAGGCACTCAAGAACAAATGCATTTATGTAAAATATCAAGGAAGAAAATCATTCCCCTCGCTTGTAAAGCAAAGAAAAGGAGGAAAATTGAGGTGAGAGAACCACTTATAGAACCTGGGACTAAGCCTTAGGGGATGGAGAACAGATTCCGGGGAAGGACGAGAGCAACTTTGTTGTCACTGGCGTCCGCCTCCCGAGCTCTAGTGCTAGTATCACCAATCATCGGTTTTGATGCCCTGTTTTGAATGTCCTCCCTAACGACACGAGCGCCGGTAAAAAAAAGTAGCGGAAATTTCGCTTTAAACTACATCTAAGGTTAAGTTACTAGCAAAAAGTCATATTATCAGCTTAAAAGGCATTAAAAGTTATAGTAAGTACTTATGACCAAACCCTCCAGAGTGACGTTTGTGAGGAGCTACATGTACAATTAAATTGGCTATGTATTTTCCGGTAAATTGCGATTTCTTCGTGAGCCTGAGAATGAGCTCCAGTTCGATGGTCTGCGGTCCGTCCAGCGTGTCTCGAACGGCGATCACTGCGGAGTTACGATCCTTCCCCTTCTGCAGGAGGAAATTCTGGCGAATCGCCAGCAACACAGATGGTGCTTCTGCAAGATGTTAATTGGGTGGACCGCAAAGGATCAAGGGATGATCTGATATGGACGTTCCGAAGCAGGATATGCCATGCTGTCGAGTGCGTCTCTAAGACAGGAGTAACTCCGTTCCCCGTTTTATTCTTATTTATCTACGGCCGTTCTCCCACACCCGTCACCTTTTCGTTCCCTCGAGAAGAATCCCCAACTGCTTCCAGCAGTCATGTCCTCTAAAACCTCCGAATTCAGCTGTAGCTATGTAATTCATGCGACCATCAATACTACCTACTGGAACCGTTTTTCTTAGGTCACTAGGTCAAATCAGAAGTGAATCTTCTTCTTCACCTAAGTCCAACCTGGGTATAAATTTTGCAATAAAATACCTTCAAAGTGTCTTCTTGACCCTAAAATATCTAATTGCAAAGGTACACTGCCGATTTAAGCATATAAGATCCCTCATTCCCCCATCGAAAATTCCTCGGCACATAGCGCATCCCTTCCCGAGAATGAGTTCGTACCCGGAATAGCGCGTTTGAGGTTGAGCTCAAACTGAACGATTGAGTCGTTGTGAGCTGGTCCCTTGATGGTGAATAGCGTGATGGTGGGACGATGTGATGTGATGGCGATTCCTTTAGGAATCGCGATATACTGCCAAGTGATGTGCACGGGATAGCGAGCTTTACATGCAGCTTCAGTCAAACCACCACAAACCGAACGAAGACGGTTGCAACGACTGAAATGTTAGATTTGTGGCAATAGGCCAAGAACACCCATGCGCCAAATCAAAGGTACCACTCACTAAATTCTGGTCACGTTGAACAAAATACCGTACTTTTTGTAGTTACTGTCGTGAACGTAGTTCTCCGGGCATTTGATCTCGTGACATTTGAACTGACCAAGAGTGTTGACACAAATTCGTTCATGTCCCTGACATTCGCCAAGTGCGCACTCGTCGATATCTGGAAGCGGCCCGTAAGTGCACAACTGACGAATATTTTGAGTTCCTTCGAAAATCTGAGGATGGCACAGGAAATACTACTGATTTTTTTACTCTTGGAGAAGAATTCAAATAACTATAATAAATGAAACATCGCACTCTTCATCTTAAGGAAAAGAATGTGAATAAACAAAACACCGCAGTTATTTGGTTCCAACCCAACACCGGTTTAGATTCTTATTATTCTCTTGACTGATGTCAGACAAAACAGTTGTTTATTGATAGTACTGACAGTAATACGCGAACATATCAATATCACATCGCCTCCCGTAACGAGAGAGGGGACGTGATAGTGATATGTTTGCGGGTAGTATGGGTATGGGTAGTAAAGGTATGATGGCTGGATGAATCGCGACATTAATCGCGTTTTAATGTGCTGATTCGCGCCATCAGCGTCCGACAATGGAGCGCGCGTTGCTGACCATAACCAGGCGACGAACGGGGATACTCAATTCTAGACGAATTCTTTGCATAATATAAGGTACCCGAAAATGGAGGCGGTTTTTGGGTCATCGAGGCTCAGTCTTTCTAATTAAAGCCCATTTGTTCTCAAACAATTGAAATGAATAAGTTATTAAGCAAGAAATGAATTGCACTACAATTTTTACCTTCCTCTTTCTAGGGCTATAACTTCCTTCATATTCGAGCTTTTGCGCCGAAGTATTTGATTTGAAAAACTCAAATTATTCTCTCTCCAATCATGGCTAA